GTTTATGCATTATTTCAATAACTGTGAGGAGCATTCTGGAATGGCGTGGGCTCATTGGGTAACGAGCCATGGCTTTCCCTAAAGGTGTCAACCTTCCCTTTTCATCTAATGCTTCTAGAACCTTCAGACAGTGTTCCGCTTCATTTATGGCTTTGGTCTCAGGGGGCGTCGGGAAAGGAAAGTTCGCTACCTGAAGATAATTATGAAGTTTATGTATCATTTATGCTAGCATTCATTGGCATTTGTAATTATCCAAAAACCATGCGTTGAAGAGAACATACAAATACGGGATTTATTTATTAAAAAGAAAAACCACTATAAGGTAAATGATGAATACCTGTCGCCATGTTTACATTTATTCCTAGCATGTAAAAAATGGGGTATTTTTAATTTTGGAAGAACTTATTTCCGAAGACCAAACTAGAAGTGATATCTATGCAAGTCACCTCGCCAATAAGCATGTATTTCATAAGGAGAACATGTAATTTATCCCTAAGAAAAGACCAAACTAGGAACGATGAGTGTATGTAAGTCACCTTGCCAATATGCATGGATTTCATAAGGAGAACAACGCCATCAACAGGCACTTTCGATATCTCAGCACTTGAGAAATCAGGAAATAAATTACTGAAGACTGCTGAGGAATACAGACGGTAACAGTGTCCAGGACCAGTCCTTCCAGCTCTTCCCGCACGCTGAGCTGCCGAAGCCTTGCTTATCCACTGAATCTCATACGACTCCATGCCATTACTAGAGTTGTAATTTTTCGTCTTTTCTCGTCCGGTGTCAACAACATACTTTATTCCTGGGATTGTCAGAGATGTTTCAGCCACATTAGTGGCTACAACAACAAGGCGTTCTCCATCTTTCACTTGCTCAAATACACGAAGCTGAGCTGATGCCGGGAGCATGGCATAAAGAGGCAGAACAGTGAGTGGGCCAGGGGAGAAACTACTATTCTCTCTTTCTGTATTTTGTTTAATACTGGAATCTAACAGGCTTGCTGCTTCAGGCATATGGTCAACGGCATTTTTGGCCTCACTCTTCCCAGCTAAGGATTCAAAAGCAGCCTTGAGCCCCGAAATATCCAAAAGATTACCATCAGACGACTCCAAAAGTTTCGACTGATTCTCTTCTTCACTAAAGAAATCACTGTCCTCACTTGAATCATAGGATCCATCAGATTCATCAGCTTCCGGAAAATCTCCATGATCCTCCTCCATATAAGAACCAAAACGCTCAGTAATTTCGTGGCCAGAATTTCCTTGAAATTCAAAAGCTTCAGTTATCTCTTTCATATCATTTTCTTCGAAATGTTTCTCTTCATGCGCAGAGGATGACTCATTATTATTTCCTTTGACTGATTTTGCTACAATCTCTTGAGAAGCTCTACGTAATCTACGGCAAAGGTATTCCACCTCTCTCTGCCCTGTCACGAAAACAAGAATGCCCCCAGGTGGTAATCTCTTGTGGATTGATAGAACCTTTTTAAAGGCTTGACCGATATAATCAATGATCTCTGTCTTCTTTGAGAAATGTGTAGTAACTGGATATTGGCGTGTTGGGACTTCTATCACAGGAGGAGGATTACGAAAAATTCTTTGGTTAGAAACAAAATCTTCTACACGCAAAGTAGCACTCATCAGCACAAGCTTTAATGGGTAAATCCTGTCATCATATCCGATAGTTTCCCCAGAAAGAATCCTCTTTGCTTGCTCTTCATATTCCCTCTGGCAAATAGCAAAATGATACATATAGCATAATAAATTTGTATATTTTTTTTCTGGGATAGAAAGAGTCTATTAATTTAAGCGGAGAAAGAAATGGGAGATAGATAGTTTAACAAAAAGATTCTGATCATTTTAAGATCCCAGGTATCAAGAATACATATAAACTAAGTGGTTACAGGTTCTTACTTGACGCTGTTGGATAACTCGAGAAAGCATCCCAATGAGTATATCTGTATTCAGACTTCTCTCGTGAGCTTCATCCAAGATTAAAACAGAGTAACGCTTCAACAGAAAATCACTCTGCAATACCATAAAGTTCACAATCACTGTAGGCAACAAGCAGTCATAATCAAGATAACAAGAACATGAATGAAACAAACAGTCGCATATAAGAAAAACAATCAAAGGTTATAAAAATTATATCTGACCAATAAAAATCACTAGTGGTGCATTTCGAACTACTCCCAACATGGCAACATACAAATAATTCAAATCAGTAATGAGCTTTCTCCCACACAAATTACAATACTTAATAACCAAATTCTGTTTCACAGTACCGCTGGAAGTGGTAAAGAATCAGGTGATCAAACTATAACTCAATTGGATAATAATCATCACCATCACAAATAAAATGTTCGGATGCAAATAAAAGACAAGGCTTGAAGGTAAAACCTGCACTTCCCGAAGCAGGATTCCATCAGTCATAAATTTGATCGAGCAATTCTCTCCAACCCTTCTGTCATGCCTAACTTGAAAACCCACCTCTTTTCCCAGTCGAAGCCCAAGCTCAAATGCCACTCTCTTGGCAGTTGCAAGTACAGCAACTCGGCGAGGTTGAGTGACACCGATAATGCCCCCTCGACTATTTGAACAGTTCAATCCAAAACCAGCCTCATAAAGAAACTGAAAGTCATCATTCGAGTCATCAGATTACATATTACATCGAACAAAATTTTATTATATAATATTAGAAGAAGGAATAAGTAGAAATAACAAACCTGAGGGACTTGGGTTGTCTTACCGCATCCAGTCTCACCACATATAATAACACTAATATTTTCATTTATAGCTTCCATTATTTCTTGTTCCATCATGACTATTGGAAGACCTGTCCTTTGCTCTTCCACATCCTTGGGTCTTGACACGTGTATCACAGTTGGAGTAACAATCGTCCTTGATAAAGTACTGCTGCCCTGGTTATATTCTCTATTAAGATGGGGTTTTGGGTCTCCCTCTACTTTATGCTGCGTGACATAAACAAATGAGGACGTCGTAAGTTAAATACATAATTGGTGCATGACTGTGTTTTGAAAAAAGTACGTTCTAGCCACGGTTTTGTGCTTTCTACTTGTCTTATGAAAACAACATGTTACAAGATATAAACATGAGTATTCTAAAAATTCATTACCGTGGACTTGATTTCTTCTTTGTGCATTGAATCGCTAGATTTTTGTGTAATGTCTGGAATTGATGATACAATTTTCTCATCAGCCACTTTCTTGATCGAAAGAACACCACTTCCATCACAAGTAACAGGTGCATTATCACAAACTTCATTTCCAGATGGCCCAACAAATTCATCTAAAGTAGACTGGATGTTGTCGCTTCCATAGCCATTGATAGCTGGTGACTCACTTTTGTCCTCATCTACTTCAACACTTCCATATACATTATTACTTCTTTTCTTCGTTAAAGATTGATCACTATTGGGCATCTCCAAACCAGCTTTTGAAAATTCAACTTCTCTTCTACGTTTTTCTCTAACAGTTTCAACCTGTAGGCATTAAGGCCACCAAATTTATACTACCTCTCTCTCTCTCTCTCTCTCTCTCTCTCTCTCTCTTTTTTTGCCTTTTTTGTCCTGCACCAACTAGAATAATAATCATCAAACAAAAACAAACCTGGCCCAAGTTCCTTGAAGACCACATAAGTGAATAAACATCTTCTCGAATCTTGTACTTCCTGACACACGAATATAAAGCACCACATCAAAATCAAACTTCCCTCGATTTGGTTCAAATGTTATAACAAAATTCATTCAATCACAAATGAAGCAAAAAGTTAAAATTCTTACTCCAATGTCTCGATGCTTTTTGATAGAAGAATTTCTTTTTGCTTCTCCTCCTATACAGCATAAATTCATACAAATCAACATCTGACACTTCAATATTTATGGAAAACAATGCTAACTAAACGTTCACAAGTTCCTGGCCAAACACAAACCTCAAGTTTCTTCAACCTTCTTTTCTGGGATTTGCTAAGTTTAGACTTTGCTGGTACCTAATTGTAACACAAATAGATAATTTCAATGCCAAATCAAATTTACATCCTATACAAGGTCATGACTAAAACAAAACATACTGCAGTGAAAACGCTAGCGGTCGTTTAAGTTCCCATACCTGGTTTTTTACTTTCTTTTCTTTCTTCTTCTTCGGAGGCAGTATAATGAAATCTCCACCTTCGCTCTCCATACTAATTCATCCAGTTGCAGAGCAAAAACAAAATCAGTACATAATAACTACGCAATTCTGTTTTTCGCGTTCCAATAAACAGATTGGAACTAACCTGATTAATTCAGCTCCAGTAGAATTGCTACAGGGCTTCATTGCTGTCACCGGAGAGGAGTGCTTTGCCCCGTTAGCTTGACCGTGTTTATCAAAATCCTCGCTTTCCCAGAGGTAGTCGCAGATTTCTGAGGTTAGCGGCAGCGGCGGCGGCGAGCGACAGCTGGAGGAGTCTGTGGGCGCGTGTTGAGCGTGTTGCTCGAGAGGTTTAACAGAAAAATGGAGCAAGGAATTGCCGGGCCGGCGGCGGACACGGGCACAAATTATAGGGAACGCGGGTGGTTTTTGGGAAGTGAATGGCATTTGACCCGACCCGGTAAGGAAAGAAGAAATTTGATGGGGTTCATAGAATCGTGGGCTGGGTTGTCGCGTGTTCTTCATGAGGGATAAAATTGCTTGTACTTTTTTATTTTATGGGCCTTACGCTCCATTTTAAAAAATAAAAATAAAAACAAAAATATAAAACAAATATGCTAAATAAAATTTACGGGTCTGAAATGTCATGTTTTTTTAATAAAATGTATATATATACCATGAAATTAAATATTTTGCTTAGATTGGTTTTTAGAGCAAAACATTTTGATTCGTAAGTATATATGTTTATTGAAAGAATATACCATGAAATATAATACTTTGCTTAGGTTGGTTTTTGGAGCAAAACATTTCGATTTGTAAGTATAAATGTTTATTGAAATAATAGTTGAAGTTTCTTCATCACTAAAATGAGACGCCATATTATCTGCTGCAAATTGTTGTGTTTGTGCAATGACCCACAGGCTAACTGACCGTATAAAATTGGTGCCTTGGGAAGGTATTAAGGGAAAAATAATCTAGCGACCACATAAGATTAATTATTACTCTACCACGAGCAAAATAAAATCTAATTGTCTGCTGCAAATTTTATTTTCCAAGCAGCAGTTGCAACAATGAGCAGGCTTTCCCATACGGAACCAAGAGTAGCCACAATATTATTTGCAGTGAGAAACTCAAATCACAGCAGAGAAAACCTCAAGAATAATCGTCCCCCAAAATGAAAGGGACTGTCTAAATTTCAATATGTTTCTTCTAAAGATATTAGTCCGAGGGGCCAATCATCTTTTCTGGCACCACAAGCTGATCGAATTCTTCGGAATTGAGCACGCCTAGTTTTAAGGCAGCATTCTGCAAGAAGTGAAGTGAAATTTCATAAAACAGGATACCCTTGAAACTATTTTCTTCGAAATGATACATTTTATGCACAAAACAGATCAGTTTTAGTTCACGGCAGAAAATACTAAGACAGTAAAAATACGTTTCATTTATAGATTATTGCAAATCACGAAAGACTATAAATTATTCTCAGCATGAGGACACAAACCTTCAAGGTGCTTCCTTCCTTGTGAGCTGTCTTGGCAACTAATGCAGCGTTATCATATCCGATTTTCTAGAGTTAAGAGCAGATATTAGTTACAATCAGCATAATCCGGAGGTGAATCAAAATACGGAATGGAGAAAAAATAAATAAATAAACTGCAACTTACTGGATTTAAAGATGTTACAAGCATGAGAGACTGCAATGAATGAAAAAGAACAATTATATCAATTGAGCAATGATATAGCTATGGCCAAAATAAAAAGTTTCAACCACATTTCCACATCATGGACAAAATACACTGACCTCATGCAATAATTTAGCAATTCTTTCCCTGTTGGCTTGAATTCCCCTGACACAATTCTTTTCAAATGAAGCAGACGCATCGCCTAGCAGTCTCAGTGACTAACAAACAAAAGAAGACGGTGTTTAAGAAAATGGTTTTCAAAATTGTCCAAGTTTTAATGAAGGAATGGAGAAAGTCAAACAGGTGCCCTTGCTCAATCCTTACTCGATCTGAACAATTAGGAGGTGAGGCATAAGTTTCAGAAGTAAAAAGGAAAGAAAAGAAATAAATCAATATAAAAAAAGAATCACAAGACTACAACTGTATAGGTAAAAACAGCAATCAAAGTCCAAAAGATGATAATAAACATGGAACTTACTTGTAGTAGATTACTGGCAATAACAGGCTTAAAAACATTCAGCTCAAAATGGCCATTTGATCCCCCCACTGTAATAGCCACATGATTGCCCATGACCTAAAAGTAAAAACACATCGGTTTTACCGTATTGCATCTGGAGAAAATGACTTCTTTTATCCACACTTCAGATTATTTTTACCTGAGCACAAACCATTGTGAGAGCCTCACACTGTGTAGGGTTCACCTTCCCCTGAAATTTAAAATGATTCAGGCAAAACACAGTTAATAGCAGCAACAACATAATCAGCAAACCATGGTATAATTGAGAAGGGAAAAAAAAAAAACATTACCGGCATTATACTGCTTCCAGGTTCATTTTCAGGAAGTATGAGTTCTCCAAGGCCACATCGAGGACCACTGTAGAAACTAAGATGTAAGAACAATAACTGAATCGAAATACTCAAATATTTAAGAAACTCGGCGATCCCATTTACCTTCCTAAGAAACGTATATCATTTGCTATCTTCATGAGCGAGGCAGCAATTGTGTTTAAGGCACCACTTGTTTCGACAAAAGCGTCATGCGCAGCCTATCAAAATAGTGGGCAAAAGAAATTCTACTTTCCACATTAATTCCTCAAAACAAACAATTCGTACAGATCAAAATTCGTGGCAGTACAGAAATTTTCTATAAACAGATGCCAGTTTCATGAAGTAAATATTCAAGAGATACAGTGGATATCAAGTCATGGAATTAATGAGATATTACTTTGCCTGGCCAGTTTCAGAAAGGGAGTTTTACCAGTGCTTCAAATTTGTTTTCAGCCGTCACAAACGGCAAATTAGTTTCCTCGGCTACTGCTGCAGCAATCTTTACATCAAACCTGAGAACATAAAGTCGACTTGTAAAGAATGTCAACTCAGATTTATGAAAATGCTAAAGGTTCATTGAATCAAGCAACAATATGTAGTTATATACTTAAAATCTTACCCTTTCTTTGTGTTCAAACCAGTTCCCACAGCAGTCCCCCCCTGTGCCAGCTGAAAATATACTCCAAATTCTTAGGACCAGTGAGAGAACCAAAGAATTTCATGGAAAACAATATAATAAAAAATAATAAGAGATTATTAAAGTTAATATTAACCTGATACATGCGAGGGAGGGTGCAAGAGACTCGATCTATACCGTACTTCACCTACAATCATAGGCACAATCTTTATGTAGAAAAGTAATATTTTTCTGCCTTCAGAATTCAACTGAAAAAGAATCAATCTCTCAAGAGGTGCTGGATGAAAAACCTACCTGGGTGGTATACCCACTAAATTCTTGTCCAAGTGTCAAGGGTGTGGCATCTTGTGTGTGAGTGCGGCCAATTTTTACGATGTCCTTGAATTCGACAGACTGAAAGATATAACAAAGCATGCAGAACATGTGTTTGATAAACGGCAGACTGATGCATAAAACGCCTGATGACATAATGGCCATCAGATAAAAGGAGCAGGAGACGAGTTGTAGAAAGAAAGGGTGAGAAAATAGTTTAAGTGAGTAAAAAAAAAACCTTTGAATTAAGTGTTGTGTGCAACTGTTTCAGTTTTGGTATTAATCTTGTATTGACTTCCATTGCAGCTGCTATGTGCATTACCTGTGCATAAAGACAAGCCATAACCAAATCATCAACTAGACTTCAGGTAAAATCAGAGTAAAATGCAACTAAATATACTCTTCCTGGGTCTCAAAGAAGCTTACAGTTGGAAATGTGTCGTTTGAAGATTGCGATCTATTCACATGGTCATTTGGATGGACAAATTTTTCACCACGCCCGTGCCCAAGAATTTCAGCTGCTCTATTGGCAATAACCTGTCATTACAAAATGAGGAAATATAATTGAATCAAGAAGAAAAGTGAACATCAAAGACTGCATTGTGAATCAAAACAGAATGATAATACTTTGATAGCCAGATGTACCTCATTGGCATTCATGTTACTCTGAGTACCACTGCCAGTTTGCCAAACAACCAAGGGGAAGTGATCGTTTAATTTTCCCTCAGCGACTTCCTGTGCAGCTTGCATTATTGCTTTGCCTATGGAGGGATCGAGGCCATATTCCATGTTTACCTGCAAAGAAATATGCAAGTCAAAATTTCGAGTTAATTAACCCTTTCAGATGGGGTTATCATAGGGTGTGGAGAGGGAAGACGAATGGAAAGATAGCAGATTCTTCATATAATATACTAAATAAGTAAAGCCACAATGCAACTTTATATAGGAAAAATCTTCTTATCATGAGATTTGACCTTTGCAGCACATTTCTTAAGAATTCCAAAGGCGCGGATAATTGGCTCGGGCATCCTTTCCCGGTCTCCTCCAATTTCAAAGTTCTGCAAGGATCTTTGAGTTTGAGCGCCCCATAATCTGTGCATTCCAAACAATGACATAAAAAGGTCGAATGGCTGGTCCTTCAACAATACCGAGGCCAGAAAAAATAAAAATCTAAGATAGTTTGTAACATCTATTCTATACACCTGGACCTATTACAAATTTGTCTGAAATGACTTAGGAAATTTGACTTAGGGAAACAGGAGATATGTTCTAGCTCTGGAATAAACAGAAATTGTCAAAGTTGGAGCAGTATACGAATGTTTTGAGGACAAAGAAACATGAAATAACTTGTAAGATTAGTGATTACACAAATAAGGCATATAAAAAGTTACAGAAAGAAGGAAAAGTTCATTTTATAAAAGTCATTACCTATTCTAAGTCAATGTCGATCTTCTCTAATTAACATGGTATAAAATGAATCTACAAGGAAAAAAAAATCAGCATTTTGCTGAAAACACATCCGACTCGGTTTTTTATCATGATTTTGCAGCATAAATCTTCAACAGGACCCATTAACCATTATCCTAGTGACTAGTTAACAGCTCACAAGTCTGTATATTACAGTCTCATCCATCTATACGGCATGTCTTCTAATCGGTAAACAGAATGAGGTCAACAACAAATCAAATCAAATCAAATTACACAAAATACATAAACGATTGATTTGCACTGAGGAAAAAAAGGTATAAACATATAAAACAAAGTATCTGGTAACTGATAATCACCGAGGACGAAAAATGGTGCTCCATAAGAGAATTAACGCAAATATAGAGTACGAACTTATCAGATGGAACTTGAATGGGGCCAAAGGTATCTCTTTCTTCTCTAAAGGACGTGGAGTACCACCGGAAGCTCGCCGACAGGGACGCCGCCGCCTGAGGCCGACTAGTTAGACGCCGGCAGATTACTAACATCGCCATTGCCGGAATCAGTTGAATCCAACAGGTGATTGGTGAAAAAATGATCGATTGAGTACGAAGCCTGTAACAAAATTTTTCGCCGGTCAGAAACAAAATCGAGGAGAATTTTGCGTCAGCTCAAACTCTACGGCACGCATTTCTATGTGCCACTTTCGGCCCATGAGCTACGTTTGGAAATGAATACAAGCCCATTTTAGAGTACCACTGGGCCACTAGCCCATGTCCATTAGTTTATACATGTGCCACTTTCAGCCCAGGAGGCTTAGGCTTATCATGTACACAGTACACCATGCTTTTGAAAAGCATGTATATAAACAAAATGAAACTACATGTATTTTGACTGTTAGTTCTCAACTTATTTCAGGTTTCACCACTTATCATCAAGTTCGAATATAAAAAGAAAAATCCCAATATCTGCAATAAGGCTATTGTTCTGTGTGGATCTAACGGTTAAACAATTATATTTTTTTTCAACAAATATATATAATTTTAAACTGAAATCTAATACTCTAAAAAATAACATAATCAAATATAACATTTCTATCATAGTATACATTTTTTGTTACGAAAATTTGATCAATCAATCCGCCTTAACTGTAAAACTACCTCATACAAAAATGTTGTGATACCTTGAAAATTGTCTCGACTCCCTTTATATTGAAAGAGTAGTTTATAAAGGTACTTCATGTTATAATAAAAATACACATTTTATTAAATAAATATATATATATATATATATCGGTCTAATAAATAGGTATACCGTATACCTAATAATAAACCTATGTATTAACTTGTGTCATTTGTTGACATTTACTTAACTTTTTTTATTATAAAGTGGGGTGAGAAACAGCTGTGAGTGTCTATATATATCTCACGTTCTAACAGTCAAGAATTAATTGAAATGCTTTAAATGGTAATAATATATTTGTTGACCAGACATCAACTGTGTGAAGAGGATCGAATGTTATGACTGCGGCATATGGTATTTGAAACCCGCCTTTTGAATTTCAAAGGTTAAGCAAATTAAAGTATACAAAACAAACAGAAAAAAATCTACTGTTCGCAGGTAGTTGTGTTTTTTTCTTTTTAATAAGTTCTTTTTACCTTTTTCTTCTGTAATGATCTGGAGACAGTCGTATAATATAGATAGTCAGTTCTATAATTTATAGTCTTTGGGAAAGTTGATAGAAATATTTTCACAATTTAATTTGTTCATTAATTTCATTTACCAGTTTGAAAATATGGAAATGAGATGTAATAATTCACATGAGCATCAAGTTTTTGTAAAATCACATGAAGTAATTTAGAAAACATCATGCCAGCATAAATAAAATCCTTTTTCACTTACCATGCTTTAATTATTTATTTTTCTTTCTTTATAATTAATTTATTCTCATTCCATAATCTAAGATTGTGATTACCATACAATTAGCAATAAAATATTAAACCTAAAATTACAATTAAAAGAAATATAAGTATGTAATTTTATTCACATAGCTAGTATAATGACTCGTCTTTCTCAACGATTAATCCACCTCAAATAAAAAATTATATACTTTATAAATATACCGTGCAAATTGTTTATGAGTTAGCCAATTTTAAGGTATTCCCACGAGGAGGAATCTATACACAACCTAAAACAAAAAAAGCAAAAATTATTACAAATCATAATTCACACCTCACTTTTACAAAACACATAATAATAATAATAATAAATAAGCAAGAAAACTTTTAGGAGAAATTATTTGCAGTTCCTCTGGTTGTTCTGTAATTCAGGACAGTAGAATAATTAAAAAGATTCAGATGTGAAAAGGAATGCTAGACAACTAAAGGGCCACAAAATGACAGAAAAATACCTAATAGAACTTGGAATATATATATAAAAAGTGACCCCTCACCAAAATATTATTAATAGCATTTTTCATACACATATACATAAATTATTTTTTTTATTTTTGAAAAAAAAAATTCTAAAGGGCAGGCCCATGATTGGGGTATCTGATCTGGCAAACTGAGTGATGCCAGGCTAGCATTTACCATACATCATTGAGCCAATGGGCTCCACTTTTCACAAAGGCACATGCTTTCCTCTCCCATGCATATATACATTACATCACAAATAAAAGAAATATAAAAAATAAAAAATAATTAACAACTCACAAGTAATGACACTAATTAAAAAAAATATGTTTCTTATTTTGTTATTTTATGTTTAAGCCTTTAAGGTTGGCCAATCATGTTTTATGACATTACATTATTGTGTTTTTCTCTTTCTTACATAGGAAAAAAAAAGTTATGTTAATGTAAAATATAAAAGAAAAAAAAAAAAGGGAAGGAAAGGACAGTTCATCAATTATATCAATTATATGGTGTCGGCAAACAACCCGTTGGGTAGAAAATTAAGAGGAGTGATTAATGGATACTAATTGCTTAAATTAAATTGATACTAGTTTCCTTA